ATCAACTCCTCTCTCACTTTTATTTTGGGTTGCTTGGAATAACCCAACTTAGATCCACACACTACGCTAAGAGCGAAAAGATCACTGTTAGTAGCTTGCAGAACAGTAGTATTAAGATGGGTTTACATGGGCGAGTGGGTTACGGAAAACACCAAGTTTTGTTCCCACCCCTCATTATTTTCAACCTGTATCTGAGAGGACACCATTTTCAAACAGGACAACTTTGTATCATTATATCATTATGTATCATTGTATCATTATTTTTGTCATAAAATGTGTTATATACAGTATATACAGGGTGGGAAGGACAACATACAAGGTATATTTTTCTCTCCATAGGCGGATAACTAAATGTTTTTTATATACTGCACTGTTAAACTTTATATATAATAATTTGTTTGGTTTTCATCTTGATTGTATTTGCACATGTTTTCTCCTGTATAGTGCATAGCACCCTTAACCACTTGCCCTCCTGAGGATTTACCCTCCTTTCTCACCAGGCCATTTTTTGCATCATGGTACTGCATTACTTTAACTGACAATTGAGTGGTTATGCAACGATGCACCCAAATGAAATTTACGTCCTTTTTTCCTGCAAGCAGAGCTTTCTTCTGGTGGTATTTGATCGTCTGTGTGTTTTTTATTTCTTGTGCTATAAAAAAAAGGGCAGACAACTTTTAGAAAAAAACAATATTTTTTACTTCTTGCTATTAAACATGTCCAGTAAAAAAATTTAAAAAATCAAAATTCATCATAAATTTTGGCAAAAATGTCCTTCTGCATGTCTTTGCAAAAAAAAAAAATCCCAATACATGTAAAGTAATACATGAAAGTGATAGGATTTACAAATGGTGGTAAAGATACTGGAATTTTTTTTTTTTTTTACTAGTAATGGCGGCGAGCAGTGACTTATAGCGGGTTTGCAGGACTGCAGCGGGCATTCTGACAGTGTGGGGGGGGGGGGGGGGGAATGACGTGTTGTCACTGACATCCCCAGTGACACCAATACAGTGATCAGTGCTAATAAAAAGCACTGACACTGTACTAATGGCACTGGGCAGGAAGGTGTTAACATGTGGGGTGATCAAAGGGTTAACTGTGTGCTGTTTCACAGTGAGCTGTGTCTGTGCTTTCAGCTGTAAGCATGCTGCTTTGTATGGCTCTGCTATGCAAGAGCTAAGTAGTGTGCTGGAGCCAACAGGGGAGAGAACTGTATTGTTTACATACAGTGCTCTTTTCCAGTGATCGTCGGTAATATTCGGCGATCACTGGGTGCTGGCGAGTAATCACCGGCCAGGACCTGGTGATTGACAGCCAAGGCCAGAACTGCAAAATCCTACTGGAAATGCAAAATCATGTATATATACGTAATTTTGCACACCCCTGCCACCCTGTAGCAGTATTTCTGCTATAGGGCATCGTTAAAAGGCCCATACTCCACTTTAAAGTTTGTAGTTATTGGCGTACATAGTACCGCTACTCATTCACATTTCATAAAAAGTAAATAAAAACACACACAAGTACATTATTTAAAAAAAAAGTCCCAGAATGTAAATCCACCATCAATCACTTCACCCAGTGATGCAGGTTTATGTTATCACAATGAGCCAGCTTGGTGACCTTCAAAAAAAAACAAACAAAAAAAAAACATTAAAGGACTTGTCGAAAACTGTGTTGGTATTTAGCTTTTCCTTTTTTTTGTGAATGAGTAGGGGTACTCATCCACATATGGGAGACAGTATCTAGGTGCCCCCCTTACTTTTAAAAGGGCCCTCCCAGATCAGGGTTGTCCTCAGCAAGGATGTACACTCGACCCCCCCCCCCCCCCACACACACACACACACACATTTTTTTCTTGATTTTTGCATTTGGTTGCCTATTAAAATCAATATCAGACATGAAGGGGTCACCAATTAACATCTACTGTATATCAGAACCTTATTTAGAATAAGGATCTGGTATATATGATTTTTCGGTTTGGCACATGCCCAGCAACCCATGTAATTTGCTTAACAATACCTTGCCCATTAGCCTAGAAATTGGCAAGAATTTACTTTTTAGTACTCAGCTTCCACCGACTACAGTAGGGTTCAGTTTGGCACCTGAACTTCTGTAATGTTCACTGAACCTTCCTCAAATGACTGATACACTGATGATCGCCACAATAAAATATGAAACAATAGTGATAGTTAGTGAAGATTAATGAAACATCTTGTAGCTTGGAATAGAATATATGTATGCGCTGATGAGACATAGGGGGAGATGTACTGAAAATGAGAGTGCAAAACCTGGTGCAGCTCTGTATAGAAACCAGTCATCTTCCAGGTTTTATTGTCAAAACTAGAGATGAGCGAAGTATTCAAAAATTCGATTCGGCTGATTTGGCGAATTCGCGGAATAAATTCGATTCGAGTCGAATATATTCGCTGCGAATTTAACTTATAAAAAGGGTGTTTCTAGGCTTCAGAGAGCCTTTATATTAGTGCAGAACACTGTACCTTTAATTTAAATGCCCTTGGAGTCTGCTGGGGAAGAGAAATAATACTGTCAGTCAGTATGACATGCAGATGAGTGCCGTCGATCTTAGAATCACCGCACACTTCACTCATTTGGGCAGTCACGGGGCCAAAACCAGAGTGTGGAGCCAGAGTGTGGCGGTGGAGGCAGCAGCAATGGGAGGCCACACAGCAGCACCCTATGACAAAATGGAACCCACCAGCAGTGTGAGGAGACCTGAAAGTGGCACATGGCAGAGTGTGGCGATGGAGACAGCAGCAATGGGAGGCCGTACAGGGACCCATGACACACTCTGGACCTGGCAGCAGCATGAGGAGGCGGTACAGGGGCCCATGACAGATTACGGGCCTGGCAGCAGCATGAGGAGTCGGTACGGGGGCCCATGGCAGATTACGGGCCTGGCAGCAGCAATGGGAGGCCAGTAATCTGCCAGCACCCTATGACAAAATGGAACCCACCAGCAGTGTGAGGAGACCTGAAAGTGGCACATGGCAGAGTGTGGCGATGGAGACAGCAGCAATGGGAGGCCATACAGGGACCCATGAGACACTCTGGACCTGGCAGCAGCATGAGGAGGCGGTACAGGGGCCCATGACAGATTACGGGCCTGGCAGCAGCATGAGGAGTCGGTACGGGGGCCCATGGCAGATTACGGGCCTGGCAGCAGCAATGGGAGGCCCGTAATCTGCCAGCACCCTATGACAAAATGGAACCCACCAGCAGTGTGAGGAGACCTGAAAGTGGCACATGGCAGAGTATGGTGATGGAGACAGCAGCAATGGGAGGCCGTACAGGGACCCATGAGACACTCTGGACCTGGCAGCAGCATGAGGAGGCGGTACAGGGGCCCATGACAGATTACGGGCCTGGCAGCAGCATGAGGAGTCGGTACGGGGGCCCATGGCAGATTACGGGCCTGGCAGCAGCAATGGGAGGCCCGTAATCTGCCAGCACCCTATGACAAATGGAAACCCACCAGCAGTGTGAGGAGACCTGAAAGTGGCACATGGCAGAGAGTGTGGCGATGGAGACAGCAGCAATGGGAGGCCCGTACAGGGACCCATGACACACTCTGGACCTGGCAGCAGCATGAGGAGGCGGTACAGGGGCCCATGACAGATTACGGGCCTGGCAGCAGCAATGGGAGGCCCGTAATCTGCCAGCACCCTATGACAAAATGGAACCCACCAGCAGTGTGAGGAGACCTGAAAGTGGCACATGGCAGAGTGTGGCGATGGAGACAGCAGCAATGGGAGGCCGTACAGGGACCCATGACACACTCTGGACCTGGGCAGCAGCATGAGGAGGCGGTACAGGGGCCCATGACAGATTACGGGCCTGGCAGCAGCAATGGGAGGCCCGTAATCTGCCAGCACCCTATGACAAAATGGAACCCACCAGCAGTGTGAGGAGACCTGAAAGTGGCACATGGCAGAGTGTGGCGATGGAGACAGCAGCAATGGGGAGGCCGTACAGGGACCCATGACACACTCTGGACCTGGCAGCAGCATGAGGAGGCGGTACAGGGACCCATGACAGATTACGGGCCTGGCAGCAGCAATGGGAGGCCCGTAATCTGCCAGCACCCTATGACAAAATGGAACCCACCAGCAGTGTGTGAGGAGACCTGAAAGTGGCACATGGCAGAGTGTGGCGATGGAGACAGCAGCAATGGGAGGCCGTACAGGGACCCATGACACACTCTGGACCTGGCAGCAGCATGAGGAGGCGGTACAGGGGCCCATGACAGATTACGGGCCTGGCAGCAGCAGCAATGGGAGGCCCGTAATCTGCCAGCACCCTATGACAAAATGGAACCCACCAGCAGTGTGAGGAGACCTGAAAGTGGCACATGGCAGAGTGTGGCGATGGAGACAGCAGCAATGGGAGGCCGTACAGGGACCCATGACACACTCTGGACCTGGCAGCAGCATGAGGAGGCGGTACAGGGGCCCATGACAGATTACGGGCCTGGCAGCAGCAATGGGAGGCCCGTAATCTGCCAGCACCCTATGACAAAATGGAACCCACCAGCAGTGTGAGGAGACCTGAAAGTGGCACATGGCAGAGTGTGGCGATGGAGACAGCAGCAATGGGAGGCCGTACAGGGACCCATGACACACTCTGGACCTGGCAGCAGCATGAGGAGGCGGTACAGGGGCCCATGACAGATTACGGGCCTGGCAGCAGCAATGGGAGGCCCGTAATCTGCCAGCACCCTATGACAAAATGGAACCCACCAGCAGTGTGAGGAGACCTGAAAGTGGCACATGGCAGAGTGTGGCGATGGAGACAGCAGCAATGGGAGGCCGTACAGGGACCCATGACACACTCTGGACCTGGCAGCAGCATGAGGAGGCGGTACAGGGGCCCATGACAGATTACGGGCCTGGCAGCAGCAATGGGAGGCCCGTAATCTGCCAGCACCCTATGACAAAATGGAACCCACCAGCAGTGTGAGGAGACCTGAAAGTGGCACATGGCAGAGTGTGGCGATGGAGACAGCAGCAATGGGAGGCCGTACAGGGACCCATGACACACTCTGGACCTGCAGCAGCAGCATGAGGAGGCGGTACAGGGGCCCATGACAGATTACGGCCTGGCAGCAGCAATGGGAGGCCCGTAATCTGCCAGCACCCTATGACAAAATGGAACCCACCAGCAGTGTGAGGAGACCTGAAAGTGGCACATGGCAGAGTGTGGCGATGGAGACAGCAGCAATGGGAGGCCGTACAGGGACCCATGACACACTCTGGACCTGGCAGCAGCATGAGGAGGCGGTACAGGGGCCCATGACAGATTATGGGGCCTGGCAGCAGCAATGGGAGGCCCGTAATCTGCCAGCACCCTATGACAAAATGGAACCCACCAGCAGTGTGAGGAGACCTGAAAGTGGCACATGGCAGAGTCTGAGTGTGGCGATGGAGACAGCAGCAATGGGAGGCCGTACAGGGACCCATGACACACTCTGGACCTGGCAGCAGCATGAGGAGGCGGTACAGGGGCCCATGACAGATTACGGGACCTGGCAGCAGCATGAGGAGTCGGTACGGGGGCCCATGGCAGATTACGGGCCTGGCAGCAGCAATGGGGAGGCCCGTAATCTGCCAGCACCCTATGACAAAATGGAACCCACCAGCAGTGTGTGAGGAGACCTGAAAGTGGCACATGGCAGAGTGTGGCGATGGATGGAGACAGCAGCAATGGGAGGCCGTACAGGGACCCATGACACACTCTGGACCTGGCAGCAGCATGAGGAGGCGGTACAGGGGCCCATGACAGATTACGGGCCTGGCAGCAGCAATGGGAGGCCCGTAATCTGCCAGCACCCTATGACAAAATGGAACCCACCAGCAGTGTGAGGAGACCTGAAAGTGGCACATGGCAGAGTGTGGCGATGGAGACAGCAGCAATGGGAGGCCGTACAGGGACCCATGACACACTCTGGACCTGGCAGCAGCATGAGGAGGCGGTACAGGGGCCCATGACAGATTACGGGCCTGGCAGCAGCAATGGGAGGCCCGTAATCTGCCAGCACCCTATGACAAAATGGAACCCACCACCAGCAGTGTGAGGAGACCTGAAAGTGGCACATGGCAGAGTGTGGCGATGGAGACAGCAGCAATGGGAGGCCGTACAGGGACCCATGACACACTCTGGACCTGGCAGCAGCATGAGGAGGCGGTACAGGGGCCCATGACAGATTACGGGCCTGGCAGCAGCAATGGGAGGCCCGTAATCTGCCAGCACCCTATGACAAAATGGAACCCACCAGCAGTGTGAGGAGACCTGAAAGTGGCACATGGCAGAGTGTGGCGATGGAGACAGCAGCAATGGGAGGCCGTACAGGGACCCATGACACACTCTGGACCTGGCAGCAGCATGAGGAGGAGGCGGTACAGGGGCCCATGACAGATTACGGGCCTGGCAGCAGCAATGGGAGGCCCGTAATCTGCCAGCACCCTATGACAAAATGGAACCCACCAGCGGTGTGAGGAGACCTGAAAGTGGCACATGGCAGAGTGTGGCGATGGAGACAGCAGCAATGGGAGGCTGTACAGGGACCCATGACACACTCTGGACCTGGCAGCAGCATGAGGAGGCGGTACAGGGGCCCATGACAGATTATGGGCCTGGCAGCAGCAATGGGAGGCCCGTAATCTGCCAGCACCCTATGACAAAATGGAACCCACCAGCAGTGTGAGGAGACCTGAAAGTGGCACATGGCAGAGTGTGGCGATGGAGACAGCAGCAATGGGAGGCCGTACAGGGACCCATGACACACTCTGGACCTGGCAGCAGCATGAGGAGGCGGTACAGGGGCCCATGACAGATTACGGGCCTGGCAGCAGCATGAGGAGTCGGTACGGGGGCCCATGGCAGATTACGGGCCTGGCAGATGACGACGAGGCTGCCAAGTGCGATCAGCCTCATCATCATCAATTAGGGTCTCCGCCTCACTACTAGCCCCCTTGGCTGCGTGTGGGTCAGGAGACAGACCTGTCTCTCTAGACCGGCTACCGAGCCACTATCCTCCTCGCCAGTGCTTCTTCGCCTGGCTGCTGAAGAGGCGGATGTCTCCCCCCGTTCCTGACCGCCCTCTGTTAGCTCTTCCTCACTGTACAGTGGGGCTGAGCCCACAGCATGCGATACTTCGCTTGTGGTGAGGGAGCACCAAAGGACAGGGGCAGGTAGAGGACACGTGATTTCAGTGGGCTTGCTCTCGGGCCATGCCAACTAACGGTTGTGTCTGACGTACCCACCGACCGTTGGCTGTAGGTGTCAGAGGTGACCTGGGAAGAGGAAGACGACCGAGCCAACCAATCGATGACGGCAGGGTTGTTGGTGGAGACAACCGCTGGATGACACCGGGAGCACTGGCCTCTGGCTGCGACTAGTGCTGCCTCGACCCCTTCCTCTGCTGCCACGTCTGCTCGCTCCTGAAACATTGCCTCCTCTGCCACTCCTCTGCGTGTTGTCTGACATACTCTTTAATTCAACGATTCTGTGTCCCTGCGTAACAATTCTGTGTCCCTGAGTAACAATTCTGTGTCCCTCAGTAACGATTCTGTGTCCCTCAGTAACAATTCTGTGTCCCCTGAGTAACAATTCTGTGTCCCTGAGTAACAATTCTGTGTCCCTCAGTAACGATTCTGTGTCCCTCAGTAACAATTCTGTGTCCCTGAGTAACAATTCTGTGTCCCTGAGTAACAATCAGTGTCTGTGTCCCTGAGTAACAATTCTGTGTTCCCTTAGTAACAATTCTGTGTCCCTGAGTAACAATTCTGTGTGTCCCTGAGTAACAATTCTGTGTCCCTGAGTAACAATTCTGTGTCCCTCAGTAACAATTCTGTGTCCCTGAGTAACAATTCTGTGTGTCCCTCAGTAACAATTCTGTGTCCCTGAGTAACAATTCTGTGTCTGTGTCCCTGAGTAACAATTCTGTGTGTGTCCCTCAGTAACAATTCTGTGTCCCTGAGTAACAATTCTGTGTCCCTGAGTAACAATTCTGTGTCCCTGAGTAACAATTCTGTGTCTGTCCCTGAGTAACAATTCTGTGTCCCTCAGTAACAATTCTGTGTCCCTGAGTAACAATTCTGTGTCCCTGAGTAACAATTCTGTGTGTCTGTCCCTGAGTAACTGAGTAACAATTCTGTGTCTGTCCCTGAGTAACAATTCTGTGTCCCTGAGTAACAATTCTGTGTCCCTCAGTAACAATTCTGTGTCCCTGAGTAACAATTCTGTGTCTGTCCCTGAGTAACAATTCTGTGTCCCTGAGTAACAATTCTGTGTCCCTGAGTAACAATTCTGTGTCTGTCCCTGAGTAACAATTCTGTGTCCCTGAGTAACAATTCTGTGTCCCTCAGTAACAATTCTGTGTACCTGAGTAACAATTCTGTGTCTCTGAGTAACAATTCTGTGTCTGTCCCTGAGTAACAATTCTGTGTCCCTGAGTAACAATTCAGTGTCCCTCAGTTACAATTCTGTGTCCCTGAGTAACAATTCTGTGTCCCTGAGTAACAATTCTGTTTACCTGAGTAACAATTCTGTGTCCCTCAGTAACAATTCTGTGTCTGTCCCTGAGTAAACAATTCTGTGTCCCTGAGTAACAATTCTGTGCCCCTGAGTAACAATTCTGTGTCCCTCAGTAACAATTCTGTGTCCCTCAGTAACAATTCTGTGTGTGTCCCTGAGTAACAATTCTGTGTCCCTGAGTAACAATTCTGTGTCCCTGAGTAACAATTCTGTGTCCCTCAGTAACAATTCTGTGTCCCTCAGTAACAATTCTGTGTCTGTCCCTGTAACAATTCTGTGTCCCTGAGTAACAATTCTGTGTCCCTGAGTAACAATTCTGTGTCCCTCAGTAACAATTCTGTGTCCCTCAGTAACAATTCTGTGTCTGTCCCTCAGTAACAATTCTGTGTCCCTCAGTAACAATTCTGTGTCTGTCCCTGAGTAACAATTCTGTGTCCCTGTGTAACAATTCTGTTTCCTCTCAGTAACAATTCTGTGTCTGTCCCTGAGTAACAATTCTGTGTCCCTGAGTAACAATTCTGTGTCCCTGAGTAACAATTCTATGTCCCTGAGTAACAATTCTGTGTCCCTCAGTAACAATTCTGTGTCCCTCAGTAACAATTCTGTGTCTGTCCCTGAGTAACAATTCTTTGTCCCTGAGTAACAATTCTGTGTCCCTGAGTAACAATTCTGTGTCCCTCAGTAACAATTCTGTGTCCCTCAGTAACAATTCTGTGTCTGTCCCTGAGTAACAATTCTGTGTCCCTGAGTAACAATTCTGTGTCCCTGAGTAACAGTTCTGTGTCCCTGAGTAACAATTCTGTGTCCCTGAGTAACAATTCTGTGTCCCTGAGTAACAATTCTGTGTCCCTCAGTAACAATTCGGTGTCTGTCCCTGAGTAACAATTCTGTGTCCCTGAGTAACGATTCTGTGTCCCTAAGTAACGATTCTGTGTCCCTAAGTAACGATTCTGTGGCCCTAAAGTCTCTCTGGCCCTAACTCTGTCCCTAATACAGACAGGTCTGTCTCTCTTGAATGACCGGAGGCTAATGGAGAATTGAAAGATGGCCACAATTTATAGCTCCACCATTACACAGTGCTGGCTGGCTGGCTGCTGATTGGCTAATGCGATCACATGTCATGAATGAATGCATTATGGGTCAGCGCGCCTTCCCAGAGATCCCCGCTCCGTCGCCACACATGTCACTGCCATTTTTGGGAAAATTCGATTAGTGCATCCGAAGTTGGCTTATTTTCGGATTCGGCGCGAATCGAATATTTCCCAATATTCGAAACGAATTCCACTTCGCCATGTTCGATTCGCTCATCTCTAGTCAAAACTAAACTGAACAAGCTGAAGTTAGAAGCTGATTGGCCACCGTGAATAACTGCACCAGATTCTGAGTGCTCCAGTTTTGGTAAACCTCCCCCATACTGTCTTTTTAGAATGACTTGGAGAATAACCTGGAATGACTTGGAGAATAACCTGGAGACCTCTGAGGTTGTAGAACATTGCTGCACCCGTAAGCATAGGTTTAAAAAAGAGTCCTTGAAAGATTCAAGAAAGACAGATTTTTATAGATTCCTTTTCAGGAGTGCATGCCATAGTCCCAAGGAAAACATAAACATCATGAACTTTGTCATTTGCAGCACTTATGGCAGCGGATAATATCGTAATCATTTTGGAGAAATAATTCAAGACAAGTATATGCACATAATAAATTACAGACTTTGGCCCAATCCGTTTGTCAGAGAAGTAAATACAGAGAAATAGAGGAGATCACACTGGTTGCAAGTCACTGAACTTATTCTTTGTAGTGCTGCATTTATGTTATTGGAACGCCTTTGTTTAATCCAGAGGTGAAAGAGGTTACATTGTACCATAGTTTTCCTGTTGAATTTGGCCACATCCAAAAGTATTTAGTAATTGACACATATTTCTGATAATCTGCTACTGTCTAAGATCATAGAAGTATGTGTTCTCTGATTTACTGCAGAAGTGCAACATGTAGTTGCTAATCTCTATTCTTTGTAGAGGCAGTAGAACATTTGCAGGACAGAATTTATTGTAGGGTAATGTTTCTGATCAGCTCATAAAAGGAAGGTTGTTTCAACACACAGAACAGCATTGAGTGGCTAAGTATAAAATATTTTTACTATATATTCTTTGAGGATATTAGTTGTAAATCCTGAGGTGCAACACTTATTATTTCAATTAGTCCTAAACTGGAACTCTGTGATAGCTGTGGGGTAAAGCCATTAGGTAAAGTTGTGCCCTTGCTTTTGTTTTCCAACCCACAGTCCACCCTCTCATAGGTGGCAATATGTGCTTTGTTTTCAACCTATTATACAGTGCTCTTCTGTCTCAACTGACACTTTATGTACTGACATACCTCTGTAGAGCTCCATCTGTTTGGTCAGTATGCTCACATGCTGATTCAGCAGCCCC